GCAACCGTCCTAAGCCCCCCTTCGGCGAGGCCCTGAACGCCCCCAGGCAGAAACGTGGCAGCTCGGACCGCCCCAGGAAAACGCTTACGGCTTAGTTCTGGAACTGAACGCGCGGTTGAAGAACAGAACTCAGAGACCCGAAAACCCACGCGCGCGGTATGCAGAAGGAGCCTGTCGCTAACAAAAAACACGAGGCTGCTCATGGTGGCTCCTTTTCGCAAGTGCTCCCTTCAAAAGAGGGTAGTTACTTCTTGTATTTCTGTCAGCGCCCCATTTTCACAGTCTGCCGCCCCTAAACCCAGCAAGCTTCCCCCAAGCCGACTGCAAGCTGTCATCAAAAATACACCATGCACTTGCTAAGCCCTTACGCCGACAACACAGAAAACAACCTGATCCGGCCTCCTCTTTGTCGTCGGTCAGGGCCAGCGCCTGTGTCAACCTTGAAGCCAGGATCTCGGGAATTCAGGGCTTCAAGCTAAGATGAATGGCCGGGCATGTCACCCCAAACTCTTCTGCTCTGCTTACACACAAGCGCTTCCAGGCAGCAGTTGGCTGACTTCGTCTCCCAGCGCCTGCCAGGACATTGCTTGATGGAGGGTGGAACCCTCACCCCTAAACACCAAGCCCCCAACCCTGGGTGGACCAGATGGGGCCAAGATACCTCAGAACTGCCCAGCTAAAGCTGCTACGAGGTGCCCCCCCCCCCCCCCCCCCCGTGCCCGTTGCAAAGTTGGGGAGCACCTCCAAACCCCTACATTCCCAGATCCCAGATTGCCACAAGAGGGCCCTCCCAGCCCAAGGACTGCAAGACCGAACACCGCTGATGTCCAAGCCAGTTTCAGCAGAATCGGCCCAAAACATCTCCCAACACATCCCAGCACGCACACACACACACACACTCACTCACTCACTCACTCACTCACTCACTCACTCACTCACTCACTCACTCACTCACTGACACTCACTCACTCACTCACTCACTCACACTCACTCACTCACTCACTCACTCACACACTCACTCACACTCACACTCACACTCGCACTCACACTCGCACTCACCCTCACGCTCACACTCACAAGCACACGCACACTCACTCTCTCTCTCTCTCTCTCATCTCTCTCTCTCCCTCTCAGTCATTCACACCTTTTGCACCTGCCTGCGGCTTCCGAAATCGCTTCAAAAGGCGATTCATGGAGAACTTCCTGGATCGGCGCGGGCTTCGGGCTGAGGGCTTGAGGTTCGGGTTTGGGGTTTGGCTTGCAGTGGAGAGTTCGGGGCGCAGGGCTTCATCGAGGGCCTTCGGGGCAATCGCGGCTCAGGAGTTCAGGGCCTCAAATGGCTTTACTAGTAAGGAGTGTACAGGCCTTCGACTTCCGAAAAAGTGTTCAGGACGGCGGCGCCTTGGGGCTCCGAGGGTACAAAATGGCACGATGGGCCAGCAAAGGCCAACCGCTTGAGAGTGGCTTTTGAAACAGAGCTCGGATGTTCTTCTGGTTCGAAGCCTTCTCCCCCCTCCCAAGCCCTGAAATGCCCTGAACACACTTTCAAGCTTTCAACAAAACCCTGAACTCTCAACCCCCGCCAAACCCTCCCCAAACCCTGCTGCCGTGCGCCTGCTGCAACTGCCCAAGACATCCTCCCCAAGCATCCAGGGTTGAGGGGTGCTGTCACGTGGCCCACCTACCCCTGGAATCATGAATCGCTGTTGCAAGCAGCTCCCTTGCCACGCTTGAGGGCTTAGGTTTAGAGTAAGGATTTAAGGGCCGATTTTCCGCAACACCTCGGGACCCTGTCTCGGCTTGCATGGACAGTACAGCACAGTCCTGGCCTCTACATTCAACACCCTTTGAGCCCGGAAGCCTACTAGCAAAGCAGCCCTGCACCATGGAAAACGCATGGAGCCCCAAACGTCCCAAACCCCCTTACCTTCAAGCTCGAATCCCGAAGCGGTTCAAGGACGGGGTTCAAGAAGGGGAGGGGGGCCCCAGGCCTCGTCGAAGTCTGTTGGCGCGAAAAGGCCTTTGGAGTTTGGAGACTCCCCCCGACCCCGGCCACATGGAATACAGCCCTTTTGCGCTGCGCATTCAGGAGATCTGGCAGAAGAGCGAAACACCTTGGAAACACAGGAAACGCTCAGAGGCCCGGTCCGCCACTTGCCGCACTTTCCGTTCCCACCAGGCCGAGTGGCCTCGATTTTGGGCGAGCTTGGGGAGGCTCCAAACTGTTCGCGCTCTGGGCTTTCAAGGGGCGATGAGGGGTTTCGGAGAGCTCGGGGGTGCTCTAGCACGGAAGAAGGCCAAAAGCTCCGCCAAGGCCGGCGCTCCTGCCAAGACTCACCCTGGCCGCATTCGAGGTGTGCGAAACACCAAGCACGAACACCGCAGATCCAACGGACCAGGGCTTGCGGGGTGTTCGGGTGTAGCAATAGCTTGGGGCTTCGGGATGCTGGTCAGGTCTAGGAAGTTTAGGGTTTAGGGCTAGGGTCCAGCATGGCAGCAACTTCGCTGCCTGGTCCACGCGGTTGCAAAAATTCTCGACAGCTCCTGCTGCATCGCAGCTGAACTCTGAACGCCTAATTTTACACCCGCAGACTCGCAAATCTCTCGCCTATAGGGCTTTGGAGCTTGGGGTGCCCACCAGAACCCAAGGCTCGAAAAAATTCTGGAAGCTTGCAAGCAGAACGAGTGCCGGAAGCCTGCATCCAACATTCCACTTGAAAACAAAGCAAAACTCCCAAGCCGCCAAAGCTACAATGACCCGGCATCTGTGAAGATGCCACATGCATTTGCCCACCACAGTACAACTACTCAGAAAATCCCAAACCCAGCCGAGAACGATCAGACATGTCCTATTCATCCCTGGAATCCGCGTGACTTCGGCTTCGGGGAAATTTGGGGGGCGCTGCTTCGGCCTGCGGGAAGAGCATCCCGGCCTGGCTCCTGTGGATTTGTGGATTGCTGTCGTTCGGGACAGCAGACGTTCCTACGGCCCAAGAAACTGTTACAGCGGCCAGCTCTTTCAGAATATACACCGCAGGCGACAAACTTTTCTGTCAGTACAGTCTTACGGGTAGAGTCATGCCACTGTGCAAGCATTTTCTAATCAGACCGGAGAGGTGCGAGTGCCAATATCCAATGCGACACAGTTTATACTTGCATGAGCACCTGGCAAGAGCATGCTGTAGTGCAGCCAAGCCCAGCACATCGCAGCTGAAGGATGAAAACACGGGTTTGCAGAATGATGCTGATACAAAGGTCCCCAGGCAAGCGCTAGACCTTAAACCCTCAGCTCTCACAGCCAGCTGACTCTTACTTGTGCCATGTGACAAGCTGCCAGTCTGATGCTGCTCGTATGGGCTATACCTCAAACCTGCCACATCGGTAGTGTGTACATTGGCAACTCAAGATAGAGAACGAATCGCCTGCCAACGTCAATCCCCAACCCCCTCAAAATTCAAAATTCAACCCTTAAATACCCCAAGCCCGAAGGGCGAACACGCGAAATTCCCTGAGACGCGCGGAACGTAGACCGGACATGACCGGACCCTGTCGTCGCTAAATGCACAAAACCCCCGGTCCGAGGAGTTTGGGGCAGCTCTCGCCGCACGGCGATCGGCGCGTCGGCGGCGCATTCGTTGGACGACGCCCTCAGAGACTCGTCTGGGCGTTGGGGGGTGGGGGGGGGGGAGGAGGGCCCGGGGGATGGAGTCAAGGCATGAGACATGGGGTTGCGCACTGCGCACGCCTAACATGATCCAGATTTGTATGCTTCTGTTGTCCGAAGCCCGAGAACCCTCGAACCTTAAACCATCTTAAACCCCTGAAGCTCCGATCTCTCTTCTCTCTTTGTGAATCGAGGCTTCAAGACACAGCCTGACTTGCCCGGGATGTTCCATTCAACCCGTTGAAACCGACAGCAAATCCCTTCTTCTTCCTGGGCTCAGGGTTTGAAGACTTGAACGGCCAGCTCCAAATGCAAAGCCCCACACAGCCGCATAGCCACATAGCCGCATAGCCCCATGGAGCCGCATGAAAACCCGCAGTCCAAGCCCTAGAAAGCCCAAGCCCTGACGGAACGAAGATCAGCGCCTGTATGCACTGCGCACCCCGGCACCCTGGCATGAAGGGGGCCTGGCGATTGGGGGTTTATAGGGTGTTCAGAGAGACTGAGCCAGGGATGCTTCTTCAGCTTTCATGACATATGGCCCAACGGCTGCCATATCTTTGAGAATCAACGAAAAAGAACGGATGCTTCTTGGAAAAAATGCTGAATCTTGGGGAACTTGTAAGGGCCGGGGTTCAAGATTCGGTCGTAGAATTCCCAAGGCTTGTAGGGCGTGTATAGGTTCAAAGGCTTGAGATGCCGGGTCCACACGTCTTCAGGCTGGCTAGGAGGACTTGGCTTTTTGAATCCAAAGCGAGTCAGTCCCAAAGGTTTGCTTGCAACTTGCAACGTTTCCCCGCGGCGCTTCAGCACGACCCTGTCCAGCCATGGAACCCTGGAACCCTAAACGAGTGTAAACCCCTAACAACTAAAAATGGAAGGTCATGGCCTGCTGCCTTGTGGCCTTGACACGAGCTGAACAAGAATTTGTTGGCTTCGAAGGTTTCAAGCTCGGACGGACGCGATCTGTGCCTCTTCGTCACGCTGCTGGACCGACATGGCGAAGCAACAGAGCTGTAAAAATTTGGTGTCTGCGGTTGAGGACTCGGTGGTGTTCTGCAATGTGTTTGAAGACGTCCAGCGGACTATTCAGGCTCATCGCACGTTCTGACGTGCACACAGCTGCACGAAGCTGTACGTTCGAGCCTGGGGCGGTCGCCAGCGTTTAGAGCACGAGGCTGCACTGTTCAAGCATGCATCTCCGTGCGCTGTCACTGCTGTCACTGGCGCTGCGGGGGAACAGTGCTCGCAGCTGCTTTTCTGGGAGTTTTTGATCGCAGGAGAACTGGCCTCCTTTGGAGGCGCAACAGCGATCATTGTGCAACCGAAGAAACGGCTAATAAGTCAGCACATCGCCACCTGTCAAGATCAGAAAGGGATTGATGGTGTCAGTCGATCCAGGAAGCCAAGCAAGTATAGGTGTTCTGAAGTAAGTTGTTCGTGCAGAGCCTCAACTTGAACTGCTTAACCGCGTTCGATTATCGGGACCTTGTGTTGGTCTGAGGAAGCATGTCGCTTGCTCCTGGCCTATCCGGAACAGACAACATCTACTTGCTCAAGGTGCGAAGGGGCACAAAGATTGCTACGCCCGTTGCTTTCAAGTTCTCTCTGTTGCCCTCGTGCTTTAGCAAATTGAAAATGGCACAGTAGGTTCCCAATAATGGTCGGGCACTTCTATGACACTGCAATATGGTCATTCTGCACATTCCGCTCTCTGCAGAAGGGTTCTGGATGGGTGCCATCCCTGAACTTTAAGCCCGGTGACACTGCCCAAGCAATCACTAGCACTACGGCTACGACGACGACATGTGCACTGCTGCTATAACCTGAATGAACAAAAAAGCGAGGCAACAACCACGGGAACCGTATCAACTCTCGCCGGCGGCGACTCCTGTCCACGCGCCAGGCATTCCTGACAGAACGGACAAACGGACCCATTGCCTCGTCTCTGCTGTAAGGCATCGCTAGGTTTTAGATGTGGCGCGCGCCTCATGAGGCTGCTGCGCCCGGCGTGCCCGGTCTTCGCCTCAAGTGTTCCAAACAGTCTTCCCGAGTCCAAAAGCCAAAGCCCAAAATGGATTAAGGTCTCAGCGTCCTTCGGCGAGGATTCCTCGATTTGGCGGTACCTCAGCGGAGACAAAGATGCAGCAATTCACACGCGGAGGTTCTGGCCGAAAAAGGCCAGGACGTTGGGCCTGAGGTTTTGTGGAGACGAGCGCCTTCCCTTACCACACGGGCCCCCGGGCCAGGCGTTGGCCCGGACCTGCGCGATGGAGAAGCGGGACCTTGGAGCGGACTGCCGCACCATCCGCAGGCCGAAGCATCAAGTGCAGCCCAGGAGCCTTGGCGCCACCTCGAGGATGCCGGTGATCAGGTCGACTGCATCCTGACAGATGAGCCAAGGTCCCCGCCACTTGGGGAAATTAAGCAGTGGGCGAATGTCTCGGGAACAATATTGGGTTGCGGTAGAATATGTGTTTGCCTAAAAATCTTCCCTTCCAACCTTCCGAAAATCATCCTCAAGGTGATCCTCGATCACCTTGAGGACGATTTTCGGAAGGTCCTAAAATCATCCTCTCTCAAAATTCCGTTTTGTCAAGAAAGCCGCGGAGAAGGAGACTCTAAATCATCCTTCCACCCTTCCGCTACACAGAGGGCCCTCGAAAGTTCGAGGAGCCTGCCAATTCGGGCCTCTTGGCCCGGAAAACGCGGTGGAACATGCCAGACGATAATTTGAGCAAAAAGGGCAGGATGGTGTTAGGATGACGTAGCGGACAGGCATAGTAAGGAGGAAGATGCCACAGGGTATCACAGGATGCATGTCGGAAGGTTTGAGGCAAAACAAATGTTGTTGATTGTTGTTGGCGACCTCAGAATTTGTCTGAAAAACTCGTATGAGCGACTGGCAAAACCCTGTATTCGTTGAACGCTGCGCAACATGCTTGGTGGGCCCCTACAGATAGCGACCAACAGAACCCCGACAGTCGCACTTTCGGGGCCCCGATCACTTTCCCAAACATCAGGACACGATGGGATCCGATCTGATGCTCATATTAGGTTGTGCTTCCCACTTTCGGACTTTCGGATCCCAACCTACCCTGGACCTTGGACCCTAGACTCTAGCCCCTGGTTGTCCCCGAACCGTCCCCCCCCCCTGCGCACCCACGAAATGAAAGAGGGGATCTCGTAGCTCGCAGCGAGGCTGTAGTCCGGGCCCTGCAAGATGGAGGATGAGGGCACTAAGATGCACGAAGCATACAAACACCACGAGCTTCGAGTTCTCGAGCTCTAGTCTCAACGTGTCTCAACTACGGCTACTTCCCGGCTGGGACGACAAGATCACGACTCGGGCAAGCTTGACCGGCTATAGAATGCGAGCTCGGGCGCCAAACAAATGCCAAACAAGAGTGCCTCAAACGGATGGAACCCGCAGATCATGTTGTACAAGATGACTCCGCAGCTCCAAATGTCGCAGGCGTACGGGACCTCACGGCGTGGGCAAAGGGGAGGGAGGGGGCTCTCACCCAAGATCCTCAGCGGCAGCCGCGCTGAAAGCTCTGCCCTTTGACGGAAGCTGCAATCCGGTGCCAGCTTGGGGCGCTGCACATCTTCTGCCTCGCAAAACCACACAGCACGCAACAGCACACGACCGCACACAACAGCACACAGCAGCACAACCAGAACGGCTGCTTCTCAGATTGTCAACATCCGCCGGTATAGCTCCACAACGAACTCGAAAGATAATGGTTAACATCACCGTTGCCTCTCGCTCAGGTTTTGGGAGAAGGCCCTTCTCATCAAAGCTGAACCCCCGCCGTGCCTTGTAGAGCTTCTGGGGCCGCGAACTCCGGGGACCCACCCCTTGTTCTGATCCGCGTTTCCCTGCGGCTCCGGGAAGGTGGCTTGGGCTTGTAGTTGTACATTCCAGGGTGGTGGATATTCGTGCAGGCTTGACAGCTTGAGATGTCGAGTGCCCAGTGGCCTCTGAAGACTCTGATCATTAAAGTCATTAGGGTTCGGACATGTTCGGAAGCGCCACTTTGGCGGCCTACAAGGCTCCCCAAACACTGGGTGCCCCGGCCAGAACCTGAGTTTTCTGCTCAAGCCGAAATCCGCGATCATAACGTTCCTCCGCTCGTCCAGGAGGATGTTCTCGAGCCTGTGCCGTCTTTTACAGTTGCACTCCGGGTTTGCGGAGCGGGCCTCCGAGAGCTATTAGGAAAATCGTTTGGCGAGCGGTTTGGGAAGTTTAGGTCTTCCGGGCAGGATCCCATGTCGCTCCCGTGAACGGGTGAGCGGGCGCACCTTCCTGTCGTTTCCTGGGCGCTGTCCCGGCCCGCGTTTCCCCCATTGTCACGCCCTGCTGGAGGTCGGCTGGTGTGCGCTCCTCTCCCGTGTCAAAACGGCCTCCACAGTCGGGAAGGTGTCCTATAGGAGCAGACAGCGTCGCTTTCCGCTGCCGCTGGCCACCATCCCCCCGCTACCCCAAAATTCCCCACTGTCCCCCAACCATTCGACCGAGGAAGGAGATCCTGCGACGCCCTGCGGAATACTTGAAAGAAACGTGGCTGTTCTCCAGCTCAAGAGGGGAGCGGGCCGACGCCAACTTTGCGGGATCATTTGGGATTACGCCAATCGGCATACATGGCAAAGGCCCATGCAGATGAGGACCAGCTTATTACCAGCTTGCTTGGCACTAGATGTCTGGAACTAGCTGCCTGCCATCTGCTTCCTATCTGGGGTGTCCTTTTGGAAGGGGGCAACAGCTGCATATGCGCGACATGTTTCCAAAGACAACTCGACATCACAAGCTTGAGGCTCCGAGTGCACTGCTTGAGGTCTCCGTGCGCGACTTTCGCGGCATGAACCTTGCAACGTGAACTCTTCTCAGGAGATCTTTGGTAGACTCAGCTTGTCTGATGTTCCTCCCGCGCATCTGTTGGACAATGCGTGGCAGGGGCCTGCTCGAGGCCGGCAATGATTTGCCGGAAGAAGCGGCGGGCCTGCCGCAAGCCACGTTTTGTTGTTGGAAGACAGGCTCTCTACTTCAACAGGAGCGCCCGAGAACTGGTCTGGAGCGGGGAGCGAAGTCGAGAGGCATGGTAAGAGCAGGGTGCTTCTTCCTGTGTACAGACTACGATTGCGACGACTTTGTTTGGAGCACCTCTGGCTCCTCAAGGCGGTCCCGCTTTTCGACGTAGTCAAAGAGGTCCCCACCGCATGCGTACCTGACAAGAGGAGCGCCACCGAAGCACACACGAAATCTGAAAGCTCAGGAACCTTGCAGAAAGCCGACACAATGCAGGGCTACGCAGGGTCTTCGGAGTATGAGAAGTTTCAGCAGTTTGCGAAATTCAGCACCATGTCCAGACTCCAAAAAAAACTCAAGCAGGACAAGCTCCGGTGAGGCACTCGAAGATGAAAAACGTTCGACTGCGCGTCGAAATCATGTCATGCATCTTCACCTGATCTATGGCACTGGCAGTTCTGGCCCGAATTTATCCTCCCTGCGCAATGGGAGGCAGAATCTATGCCAAAGACAGTACTGACTGGATGCGATGTCAAGAGAGGACAACGTCTGTTGGTTCGAAGAATCTGAAGACTATAGGAGACCTGGTCAGAAAACTTTGACGGACACGCAGCATTGACGAATCTTTGTGGACCATGTGTCAGCACTCATGTCAAAGTCCCTACACACTCCTTCTTGTTTGCACTTGCCTTGCTCTACTACCTTACGGAAATCTCGCGGGGATTCAGCAAGAGCACAGTGTGTGTGTGTGTGTGTGCGTGTGCGCGTGCGCGGGCGCGTGCGCGTGCGCGTGCGCGTGTGCGTGTGCGCGCGCGTGTGCGTGTGCGTGCGCGTGTGCGTGTGCGTGTGCGT